CTCTATCTTTCACCGCCCAATTGATATAAACTGTAACAGGGTTGTCAAATACCAAAAAAGTTGGATACTTCTACGTAAGGGGCTTTGGTTGGAACACGTTTTCATGAATTACATTGTTCGTTCTTTTGTAACTGCCGGAAGCAGTAACTTAGAGATATCTCGCACTTTTTCACCACCCGAGAAAGACAACGACACAAATTTTTGTAAACGAATAAAACATTCCCACCTCAACTCGATAAACAAAAACGCTCAGGGTGGGACTCGAACCCCATCCGTCAGGTTTGTTGTGAATTGTTGTAGCATCTGTGGAGGAGCATTGTTGGACAACATGCATGTTCTGACCGCAGCCCACTGCGTGTTCAATGAAGATGAACACCACAACTTTGATGAGCCAATGGATTTAGCTAGATATCAGATCATTCCTGGTTAGAAAATCTCCATGGTTATAAAAACTTGACCGAGAAACGCCCATTTTGCACTCACATAACAAGTAAAGCTTAATAGACCCTGTTGATTATTTCGAATTTTTTTCATCGTGTCTCATATCATTTAGTTTTCCATATCAATGCAATTTTCTCCTAGCATGAGTTTAATTTTGAAATGTTGGCAAAAAAAGATGTTCGTTTCAACGATTTGAGAAATGTTGCTTTAAAACAGCTTGAAACTGCAATATCTGAAAGTCGAAATTCTATCTTTAAACTCTTATCTTTCTATTACAGCATAGCAATTCTTAACTAAGTTTTTGATAGAACTGCGCACTTGCCAATTTACAAAACAAAACAAACCCCACCCTTTTGCTTGGCAAAGCAAGGTATGATGTTGCCCTTAAAAATTTCCCATTTCAACAAACCAATATTGAACACATGATAATTAATGAAGAATTGAAGAGAAAAATTTAGCGTTTCATGATGCATTTTTGAAAACGGAAAAAAAATCAAACATAAATGTGGTTGTTGTTTTGATAGCAGAAGTTTGAGAAATTTTCTGATTATTTGAGAGAAATTTTTCTCAAATAATTTGATAACCCTTAAAAACAAAAAATTCCATCATTTTAAGCTTCCACATTAACAACTACTTAAGCTCCTAGAAACTATAATCACTTTGTATGATGTTTAAAAAAACGCAGAAACAAAAATATTTAGAATTACTATTTTCGAGTTTTTTTAATAGTTTTCTACGGGATTTTTAGTACCATCTGAAAATATCGATGAACTGAGCTGAAATCCAAAGAGAATAACTCACCAATGACTTTTTCGTGGAGTTGTTGAGAAAATGGCCAATTCTACTAATTTGAGATGAGCAAAATTTCAAGTTTCTTTAATAATTCGGTAGCACATGAGCCGATTTAATCAGGCTCAAAAAAAATTCGAAATTCAATTAGCGCACGCTAGCTAATCGAATCAACGCATTAGCAGAATCAGAATATATCACACTGTACTCTTGGGCTCTAAAATAAGGTAATAAAGTGTGACGCAAAACGAGGAGGGGAAAATTAGGTTATTAAATTTTTTTATTTTTTTTTTTCATTTTGACCTTTTGAGATACTTCAAGCACGAAAAAGTTTCAGTCTTCTATTATTGTGCAGCAAAGGCTGCAAATTAATTGGGCTTCAAATCATTCCACATTGAATTAGAGCAAGCTAACTGATAAAAATAACGATTTAGCATAATCACAAGTTATCACTGCGTTTTCGCGCGGAAAAAAAAAGAAGCAAGAAAAATCATCATTTTCTATTTTTTTTTCGAATTTTTATCATTTTTTCCAATTTATAACTCCTCTATTGGCATTAACTAGCAGTCGGAACATTCAGAGCTTCGCGCTGATACGTTCAGTTTTGACAATTTATATGCTGTTTTTAGGTCTCATATCAACTGACCTAGTAGCAAAAGGTGACCAACTGAAACGAAAGGTTACTCATGCTGAAGTTCCTCCGCCCAACCCTGGCGCGCATCCTGGAACTAATGACATTGCAGTCTTGACTCTCTCGGAGCCCCTGGACTTTGACTCAGAAGAACCATGGCCTACCTCTGGACTACCTATCTGCACGGGTCGTTTTTTTTGGGCTATTTTGTACTGTAAGCTCAGACGCTTAACCCCTGTGAAAGAAGCCAAATTCTGTTGGGTCTGAATATTATTTTTAAACAAAAGGTATTTCTCTCAAATCTGATTGGTTGACATTAACAACTCATAACAGAAAAAAAAATCAAGCTTTCCATTAGCCAGAGAAGCTCAATGAACAATTTGGCAATTTTTGGCCGTATAACAGAAAATACCCGAAAAAAACCTCAGAAAACAACAACGGTTGCTATTAACAATTACGATTTTCAGTTACAATCACGAAATTTTCAGTGTAGCTGCACGATGAACCAAAAATATCACTGTGAAACAATAGCTGTTCTTTTTGAATTTAATTGTAATTATTTCATTGCAGAAGTAATTACCATTTTTGTGGCTAATGAGTGAATGATGTGCTTTGTTTTTTTTCCTAAAAAACACAAAAATTGTTAAAAAAAACGACGTTAGCAAGAGGATAATTTCGAAAATTGGGAAGCCTATAAGTACAAGCTGGTCGTCATGGGCTTCGGTAGACAAGACAGATTCGATCCTTATCCCTCCAAACTACAGGTAAAAATTATCAACTTACTATATCTTACTTTTGGCTAATTGTTTTTTATAGAATCAAGAAAAAAATATCAAGAATAACCATTAAAAAACCTTTTTGATATACATAATCATAGAAAAAATAGTAAACAGCCAAAATTTGGATTATTTTTAGGAAGCTGAGTTGAGTTTTGCGAACGAGACAGACAACGCAGGCATAGTTGCATTACGAAGTGGAGGAGCTAAAACTTGTTCAGGTACATTGAAAAACTTTTTTAAGTCACTTTCTAATCGCAAAAACTGCTTCATAAATAGAATTTAAAAAAAATGGAAGCGGAAAAATGATGGAATCATTTAGTATCAGGAAGCGTGAAAACCGACTGAGAGATTTATTAATATTTTAGTCTAAACCTCAAATATTTCGAACCTATTTTTCTCAACCTGGGAGAACTTAATGAAACCCCAATATGTTATTGACTAGAGAAAACTTGGACGAATAAAAGAAATCTAAAGCAAGATTAATTCTCGCTACATTGAATTTGCTCAAAATTTAATTTAACGGCAAGCTTAAAGGTTCTGTTGCTATTTCTGGCCAATATTCGTAAGTATGTAACTTAGGTAGAGGATAGGGGAGGGGTGAGAAAGGGTAAGTGTCATTTTAGGAGACGACGGCGGCCCAATCGTGAAAGTGAGGAAGAGCTCGGACAAGGTCAAGTGCATCTTTGGTGTTTCCTCAACATACGTTGGAGATTGTACAACCACACTACCCAACTACAGTTACGTCATCAGAGCCAGCTTCTATTCGGATTTCGTGAAAAAAGCGCTGAAAACAAAAGAGTGAACTGTAGCTGGAAGTTGGAATATTCTAGAACTTTCATCAACAATAAAAGCAAAAAAACGTAGTTGAGGGTAAAATACGAATCATAAATACGGAGCTTTGTTTCTTTCGTTTAAATTGTTGAGATGATTCTGACTTTTCAAGAGGTATGGATCATAAAATTTGACAGGAAACTTTTTGAATAATAAATAGCCTTGCACTGTTAAAAATTTGTTCGGTTAATTTAGGCATGAGCGCAATCCATCATTCGCGTTTTCCATAGATTTGACGAGAAACCCATTTTCCATTTCTATTGTTGCTTTCACCATAAGGTTGTAGTTTCATGTTCAGATTATCGCCAAAAAGTCTTGAGATAAAGATTCCAGATTTTAGACTGTCGCTAGCTTTGAAGACCTGAGAGATGTGTCCGCAACCGATGCAGCCAAAGAAAACATGCGAGTGACCGAGAAAAAATTAACCGCAACCGATGCGATCGCAAAAAAAATACCGCGATCGTCGCGACTTTTCTTTCTAAAATTTACTAAATTAAGCTGTTTTTTTTTTATAATTAAGCAATTCATTTATTGTACTACTTTTTAAAATCTTTTTTGAGCTAAGCAAAAACATACACAGCAATCAGTAAAATAAAAAGAGTATAAAAGAAAAACTTCAACGTTGTTTTCTCAAGTTCAACTTTGTGCGGCACCTGTCTCTAAAAAAACGGCCGAAAAATGTCCGCGTCCGGCACGACGGTTTTGAATAATGATACCATGTTTTTGACACTCGAATTCTTGTTCCATCTTGTGAACTGGTTGTTTTGTGGCCAACAGACCAAAACTAGCAGTCAGAAGAATAACTTTGGGCTGAGATGACCGATTTTAGTTTAATTTTACTTCTTAAGTTTAAAAACTACTTAAGTTTAAAAACACTTTTAAAACTAAACCGCCTAATTGCCTCAATTTGAAAAAAAAGGGATCCATTTTTTCAACATTTAAGTAATACATTGAAGTTATTGGTTAATAAATTAGTCTGTTAATTGAGCACCACAATCCAGGTTTTATTTGATTTAACAATTCCAATCCTAGAATTGAGTTTCTTGAGTGGGTTTGCATCGTGTCACAGATACAAGAAAAGGATTCAAGGAAAATTTCAAATAAAATGTCCTCAAATGAAATGTCTTTATCTTCATTGTCAATTGTAAAAAAAACATAGGAACTCACCCGGAAAGTGGGCTATCCGTATGCTTAGGGATAATTATAGAATGAAGATCCTCGAATTTGACAAAAACCACCTTGTTGGTGGTTTGTTAAAAGCTATAGGAACCCGCCCGGAACATAGATATTCCTGTAGAAGTATGCCTATGCACTACTTCGTAAACGGTAACGTAATAACAATACGAAAAAGAGACACCTTAAACTCACTCTCATAGGCTAACACACTGACTGTGTGAACACAAGACATTCACTATAACTTTGACCTTGATGGTCATCATTGCAGAAGTAATTACCATTTTTGTGGCTAATGAGTGAATGATGTGCTTTGTTTTTTTTTCTAAAAAACACAAAACTTGTAAAAAAAAAAACGACGTTAGCAAGAGGATAATTTCGAAAATTGGGAAGCCTATAAGTACAAGCTGGTCGTCATGGGCTTCGGTAGACAAAACAGATTCGATCCTTATCCCTCCAAACTACAGGTAAAATTTATCAACTTACTATATCTTACTTTTGGCTAATTGTTTTTTATAGAATCAAGAAAAAAATATCAAGAATAACCATTAAAAAACCTTTTTGATATACATAATCATAGCAAAAATAGTAAACAGCCAAAATTTTGATTATTTTTAGGAAGCTGAGTTGAGTTTTGCGAACGAGACAGACAACGCAGGCATAGTTGCATTACGAAGTGGAGGAGCTAAAACTTGTTCAGGTACATTGAAAAACTTTTTTAAGTCACTTTCTAATCGCAAAAACTGCTTCATAAATAGAATTTAAAAAAAAATGGAAGCGGAAAAATGATGGAATCATTTAGTATCAGGAAGCGTGAAAACCGACTGAGAGATTTATTAATATTTTAGTCTAAACCTCAAATATTTCGAACCTATTTTTCTCAACCTGGGAGAACTTAATGAAACCCCAATATGTTATTGACTAGAGAAAACTTGGACGAATAAAAGAAATCTAAAGCAAGATTAATTCTCGCTACATTGAATTTGCTCAAAATTTAATTTAACGGCAAGCTTAAAGTTTCTGTTGCTATTTTTTGGCCGATATTCGTAAGTATGTAACTTAGGTAGAGGATAGGGGAGGGGTGAGAAAGGGTAAGTGTCATTTTAGGAGACGACGGCGGCCCAATCGTGAAAGTGAGGAAGAGCTCGGACAAGGTCAAGTGCATCTTTGGTGTTTCCTCAACATACGTTGGAGATTGTACAACCACACTACCCAACTACAGTTACGTCATCAGAGCCAGCTTCTATTCGGATTTCGTGAAAAAAGCGCTGAAAACAAAAGAGTGAACTGTAGCTGGAAGTTGGAATATTCTAGAACTTTCATCAACAATAAAAGCAAAAAAACGTAGTTGAGGGTAAAATACGAATCATAAATACGGAGCTTTGTTTCTTTCGTTTAAATTGTTGAGATGATTCTGACTTTTCAAGAGGTATGGATCATAAAATTTGACAGGAAACTTTTTGAATAATAAATAGCCTTGCACTGTTAAAAATTTGTTCGGTTAATTTAGGCATGAGCGCAATCCATCATTCGCGTTTTCCATAGATTTGACGAGAAACCCATTTTCCATTTCTATTGTTGCTTTCACCATAAGGTTGTAGTTTCATGTTCAGATTATCGCCAAAAAGTCTTGAGATAAAGATTCCAGATTTTAGACTGTCGCTAGCTTTGAAGACCTGAGAGATGTGTCCGCAACCGATGCAGCCAAAGAAAACATGCGAGTGACCGAGAAAAAATTAACCGCAACCGATGCGATCGCAAAAAAAATACCGCGATCGTCGCGACTTTTCTTACTAAAATTTACTAAATTAAGCTGTTTTTTTTTTATAATTAAGCAATTCATTTATTGTACTACTTTTTAAAATCTTTTTTGAGCTAAGCAAAAACATACACAGCAATCAGTAAAATAAAAAGAGTATAAAAGAAAAACTTCAACGTTGTTTTCTCAAGTTCAACTTTGTGCGGCACCTGTCTCTAAAAAAACGGCCGAAAAATGTCCGCGTCCGGCACGACGGTTTTGAATAATGATACCATGTTTTTGACACTCGAATTCTTGTTCCATCTTGTGAACTGGTTGTTTTGTGGCCAACAGACCAAAACTAGCAGTCAGAAGAATAACTTTGGGCTGAGATGACCGATTTTAGTTTAATTTTACTTCTTAAGTTTAAAAACTACTTAAGTTTAAAAACACTTTTAAAACTAAACCGCCTAATTGCCTCAATTTGAAAAAAAGGGATCCATTTTTTCAACATTTAAGTAATACATTGAAGTTATTGGTTAATAAATTAGTCTGTTAATTGAGCACCACAATCCAGGTTTTATTTGATTTAACAATTCCAATCCTAAAATTGAGTTTCTTGAGTGGGTTTGCATCGTGTCACAGATACAAGAAAAAGATTCAAGGAAAATTTCAAATAAAATGTCCTCAAATGAAATGTCTTTATCTTCATTGTCAATTGTAAAAAAAAACATAGGAACTCACCCGGAAAGTGGGCTATCCGTATGCTTAGGGATAATTATAGAATGAAGATCCTCGAATTTGACAAAAACCACCTTGTTGGTGGTTTGTTAAAAGCTATAGGAACCCGCCCGGAACATAGATATTCCTGTAGAAGTATGCCTATGCACTACTTCGTAAACGGTAACGTAATAACAATACGAAAAAGAGACACCTTAAACTCACTCTCATAGGCTAACACACTGACTGTGTGAACACAAGACATTCACTATAACTTTGACCTTGATGGTCATACAACATTATATAATAACATACGTAATTATAGTACGACCTCTACACCACATTTCCCTTTCGAAACAGTTCCTAAATGACATTAACTATACATAGCACATATCGCAACTCAATCTTTAAGCTAAATCAGTTCAACAGTTCATTCATAGTCTTTAATAGTAAGTTAGAACTCTATCTCCTATCTTCCTCCTCTTCAAAATAAGTCTTCAAGCTCTTCGAGAATCTGCCGATGGTCAACCTCCGCCATACTAATGGCCGACAACTCATCAGCGATGTGCAAATCGTCAGTAACAAATGGGTCCCTCGAATCACCTCTAGCGTTGATGTCAGCTGTTCCCTGCACGACAGCCACTGGCTCTTTATCATTCTCCTCATCTCTCTCGTCCGCTATTATCACACATCGTGTATGCTCTTCCTGACAAGCATCCGAACCTTTTGGCTGAAAAAAAATCTCAACTGGTACGGCAGCCATTGGCATTTTCACTCCAACTGATTCAGCAGCCTTTGGCGATTCCTCTTTGCCCGCATTTTTGTTATCTACGGTTTTAATTGGGGTACAAATTGTGACTCTTCTAGCCGCAGGTAACGTAAGATTCAAATTTCTTGCTCCAATTCGCAACAGTAACTCTCTCCCAGCTTGATGGCTGTACGGGTTCTGTGACTTTCCGCCTGGGCAATATCAACAAGTTTACCCCGGTTCGGGTTGCGTCAATTATTCCGTATTCGGGCTTCCAGGAATTGATACAGCTATTGTACGCGAAATCCGTCAATAACGTTTCCTGCTGTATCAGTTATCATGGAAACTCCCGACAAATGTTTAATAATTCGTCTCAACTTATCCAGCACGTCGACAAAATTTCCAGACACCTCTTAATCAAGTCATGTTACATCGTCTTGGATATAATCTTTCCCCAGAAAAACGGCACATTTCTTTGTCGAAACACGTATTTTCTGCGCTCCGTCTATTCGGGCTTGGAATCTCTTTTTACTCTCTATGACATACTAGTTAGCACATAACTTCCTCCTCTATTGCAATTCACTGTCTTTGGTGTAATACCCGTTGCCGCCTTCGGCACTCCTTCTAGTTCTTCATCTGAAGTGTTTTGCGTCTGACGTAATACATGCACGTTCAATGCACCGCCGTTAACTACGCTCGTAAACAGTCTATCTCCGAAAAATTTGGAGGCCGGCATTCTTAATGGCCTTGGTTGTGCATAATAACCGTCGTATCCTGTTTGAGGACTTTCACCTGACTTGGACCCGAATTTGTCTGTGGTGGGTTCTTTTGCTCTTTTTGCTTTATGTCCATTGGCACATGTTGAGGCGATGACATTACTTTTTTCGGATGATTGCAGCTCTTGTGTGTCCATTTCATGTGTATTCGCTTTATCTGTTTCCTCAGATTCATCCTCCCCGTCCTCAGTAGAAGACAATTCAATAAGGTTCGTCGGCACTGGGATTGACCCCATTCGCAGCGTTTTTCCTTCCTCCGAGCTCGAGTAGAGCACAATTCCTCCTTGAGAAGTTTCTCGCGGCAATACGAATGTTTGAGCCTCCTTTTCCACGCCCGTGGCTTGACTATGTCCCACTGTCCGTTCTGAAGGCAATGTGTTTGTCCGCGGCAGTATTTCTATATCCTTTCCCGGACTCTCTGTCCATATAAGCCCTTCCGATGAAATATCGATCAAAAACGGGTTCTCGGCAGTTCCACCGGCGTGATCCGTCACTGGTTTAGGAGATTGTCCCGTAGACGCAACTAACGCACCCGTATTCCGAGCAACCCACTCGGTTTGCACATCACGTTGTTTCGCCGTACCCGAAGGAGAAACTGCCTTCAAACCGCCGGTTTCGTGATCCCAGCCACCTAAACTTATGGAGAGATCACATTTATGCAAAATTTTTCCGGAACACAAAGTGACTGAATGGGCCGATTCACGAACTAAGCGCTCGTTTAGTGGTTCAAAGTACGGTTCTGATTTCAATCTTTCTTGAATTTTGCAAAAAAATTGTGCTAGCCTTTTGATTGAGCTTGGAGCACCCGGAGCACTTGTTGTTTCCACTGCCGACTTTGGGACTGACATTCCCGATACCAACGAGTGCTAGATACGATCATACGTCCCCTGTTTGTTGCGTCATCCGGTTCACCGTAATTCTGAATGAATTTTGAACGAAATATCTTCTATTTACGATCTAGAGAAAGCAATTAATTTTTCATGTCAAGTTTTCAGCTGAAGCAGCACGAGTAATCGAATGCCAAATTGTATTTGGTTTTTGCCCAAAATTTGCCTCAAATGGAGTACAACTCAACAATTGATATACTGTAGTTCAAATGCTGAGTAGTATATCCTTTAGCCTTACACGTAAGCTCCGATTTGGGCTCTGAAAAGAAGAAGCCATTAACCTTTCGCGAAACGATCGGATACATCTTTCCACTAAGCCCGTAGCTCGATTCCTTACCACCGGCGCAAAAATCAGATGTATATTTTGTTGACGACAAATCTCTCGAACTGATTTAGGCACAAAGCCCGATCCTTGATCCGATCGGATCACTCGCGGTATAGCATGTAGAGTAATATAATTTTACAAAAAAATTGCTGATAACCGTTGCGGTAGTACGCATCGTTATTTGAACCGTCGGGAATTTTGAAAACCGATCAACACAAATCAACAGGTATTTATTCGCGCCCCAAAAGGAAAATAGGGGTCCTAAACATTCCATTTGATTTTCATGATTTGGTTCCTCCATTAAATCCCTCTGTGCAACCTCCGTACTAGGAATAACAGGTTTTAAATTCTTACCCGATTTATTGCACTCTTTGCAATTCGCCGCGGTTAATTGGATCTGCCGATTAATGTGTGACCACAAGAAATAACAATTCGCCACGTCCCTAATTATAAACAGGCCAGCGTGTCCTTTATGCAGCGTGTCCTTTATGCAATCGAACCATAATCGGGGATCTCAACTGCGGTTGAATCACCATCTTATCTTCCATAAATAGGATTCCATTCGATGTGTGGAACTTCGAATGATAATAACAAAAGTACTCGCCGAGAAATTTGATTACGGTGTAATTACGCTCTTTCAAAGCATCATTAATACAACTATGAATTTTGTCTGCTTTAGTTAGGATCGAGTGAAAATCTGAATCGAAGAATTCTGGCCAATAAAACAAAATGGAAGGAAACATTTCCTCCGGGATAATTCTCGATTTCCGCTGGGATAATTCTCGATCGGCTGTCTTGATGAGGTTGTACCGTGTATCTTTAACAAAGGGATTTCCCGAGGTCTGTTCCCCTCGGTACACGATTTTGTGGAGTTCAACCTTGCCATTTTAAATGGATTAAATAAATCTAAATTTTTACAGTTTTCCGTTCTCAAGTGATTAATGACACAAACTCTGATCAAACGACAGTTTTTGAACGTGCGAATAAGTTTCTTAGCAGTGCATTTTTTCCGTTTGCGTCCTCCCCCCGTCGGTTTTCTTCGTCTCGCCATGTCATCGTTACTAGCTCAGTTCCCACGTTACTAGCGTATTAGTCTCAATCTATTTATATACAATCGCAAATTAAATCAATAAAACTCATTAGAGCTGATAAGAAGAAAAACGTCGGGGTTAAAAAACGCTGACTGAATTTGAAAAAAAAAATTGAAGAAAATTAAAAATTGTTTTCGGATGACATTCACGCAATCTTCA